CTCCAATAGGACAATGTATGCAAGATACACTTGATTGGACTATAAATCTTTAGTAGAGAGAGTTTGATGCTTCTGGATTATTTGCGCTGGCCATAAACTGGAGGAAAACATTTGAGATCACTGAACCTTAACGGCAACTGGCAACAGGCTAGTACTTTCCCATAGGATTTTTCAAGTCATAATAAATTCATAACATTATCTGGTTTTTCAGCTTTCGCTTGGATTTAGTTATCTGGATTCCTGTATATTATGGGCTGATCTTTAGGGTAATCCAGACTCATCAGAAAGGTATTCTTGCTAAATACTATGTCTGTAGTTCAAGGATGGATTTTAACCTGTCTGGTTATAATTTATTGAGTTCTATATCTTACCTTGACTAAGTGTGAATTATTTTGTAATATGTAATGTAGGCTGGTGATGAATATTGAATTATAAGACTTCACAACTTACTGGCCCACTACTAATACTGGATTTTTAATTTATTAGACTGTCTTTGTGTTAAGTACTATAGATGTTTCAAAAGTTAATACTTGGAATTTAGACCATGCATTTTCTCATTCAGAAGCTTGTATAGAACATTCATCTGTGTGAAGAAAGGGTAAACTTAAGAAAATGCAGTTGCTTTTATAACAACATGATTCCATAGAAAGTTGTTTTCAATTCATTTTCTAAGGTACTTGTAGTAGGACGACACTTTGCCAAAACTATTAAGGATGAGAATTGCAGAGCTGGTTTAAAATCCAATCCAAAATCTATTTCATTCAGTGCAATATTTCCATTAAATTTGATTAATGTCCAGGAATAAAAAACAAGGTTTCTTTTTTGTGAGTTGTTATAGTAAACAAGGCACGTGTATACTTTTGTGTCCTCTTCTAAAGCCAGTAATCCACTGGGCTGATTACTACATTGTGGTATCTTTATAATTTAGAACTACCTGTGGCTCTCAGGAACAGAAAGGTTAAAGGAAGTGAATGAAAGATTGCAAATCTTTTAAAGCAATGACCTGATAGTTATTTTACATCACTTTGTTAAATACACTATTATCAACAAAAAAATGTATATATGCACTGATATGAAGAATCAGCTGAATAAATGCAATACATAAAACAAAAATGTACTCATCTACATTTTTTTTCCTAGCTTTGTGTTTTGTTCGTTCTTAGCAAAACTAGAAAGAGAGATAGTACTGTTCTTTCAAAAAATTAATGGATTAATATATTGACAGCCCTGATTTTTGACTTAGGAGGGTACAAATCATAATTTTAAGTGTAGCAAAGGAAAAATAAAGTTGACTTGTCACCCATGGTAGATGCTAGACATCATTCACAGTAGTGCTGCAGAAGGTATCTATAGGATATTGTATAGTGGCTACTATGAAGGTCTCATAAAGGATGGAGTTAACAGGCACTGAGCCTGCAGATTAAAAAACCATTTAATAACAATAAAAAGAGTTTGTCTGGTTCATCTTGGTTATATTTAAAATGTATTGGATTTATACTGATTGAAAACTCACCACTTCTTTTATGTGGCTGAATAATTAAGACTGATGATTTCAATCTGGGCCTGTAGACTTAAAAGATAAAGAAACACATTGTTAAATCTATGATACACTTGCAATATTGAATCAACATAACTTGATTTGTCATTGAAGTCTCTGAAAGTGTTGTAAATGACACAGATTGCCATCATAAGGTGTTCCCAGGAGCTGTTCAATATTGAAAGTGAACATAGGTCTGCTCTGCTGTCTGTCATTCTTCAAGCTGTGTGAGAGCAAAGCAAATCTCTGGAATAGCTTTGGCAGTCATAAAGTAGGAAACATGCCAGTAGAATAAACCTGATTAAAAAATTTTGTAAGAAATCCTGAAATGACAATTAAACAGCATGATGCAGAATCGTAAACACAAGTGGCCAGCATTATCATATGCTGTTCAGAAAAGCAGAACTAATCAATAAATCATGCAGTTGATTATTGTATTCATTTATCTGTGGGTTGCTGGGGCACTAGCAATGTAATTCAATCTTGAAGGTTTGTTATTGTTTAGAACACATTGTAAAATCTATTGATTATCAATGTGCAGCATGATTTATTCTTTCATCTGATATTTGTGCTCTTGGTAATAGGATACTGCAGCCATGGATTGTAACAGACATTTTAGATCACATACTTTATGGTTTTCATCTAGGAAAAAGTAATAATAAAAAATTGAGAAGGGTCATAAAAACCTTATTCACATCATTCTAAAGAAATTATTATAACATCATTATTTTACTAACGTTACCTACTTTACCAAATTTCATCTGAAGCATTGGCAAAATTTGCGTAAAAGACTGAATCTGCAGTTACAAAAATAGCCATTTTCCTAGGAGGCTTCAATAGTCTTCACACTTTATTATTTTAAACCGTCTAAACCAAGAATCAATTTGACTTAAATTTTTGTCTTTGTTATTCTGGCTGCTCCGAGCTTTTATATGAAGGTTTCTTGAGTAAGTGATAACTGGGTATCTAGAATTTAGTACAGTTGTCTAGGCATAGCCGTCTAGTACCATTTTAAATGCAAAACATCCACACAAAGCCTCCAGATGTGACACAGGACCTGCAGGATACCCATGCCCTTCTGAATAGGCACCTACCATTGAAAATGGTACTAAACACTCTTAGACAACTAAATAAAGCCTCCATAGTAGGATTGTACTTTCTTTGCATTTCCCTGTTCCCCCAATAAAAATGAGATATAATGTACAGTAGGATAGTTAGGGCTGCAATTTACCTGTCCATGTATATGTGCCTCCATGTGAGCTAGGTGTCCAAACTGCCTTTATAGCTGGTGGAGATTTCATCCTCAGTTCAGTCGCCTCAAAGTGGGCATCTGGATCTAATATGCCCTATCTGATATGTTGTGTCTCACCTGCTGCTCCAGAAGAACACGGGTCTCCCATACACATGTGCACACCTACAAACACAGGGTGCAGTGCAGGTGCGTCAGGTATGATCTGGCATGAGGTGCTGAAGTTGAGAAAAGTCACAGAGCTGGTGGTGATGCAGGCAGCTGTGGTCTACAGAGTTACTCAGTTGGCACTTCTGTGTGTCAACTCATGGGATAAACTGAAGAGGCTTTGCTGTATTGAATAGGTCTCCATTGGTGGGAGCCTCGCTCCATGTGGGGTCCTGACTTTAGGACTTAGGATTTTTGAAACAAATCAAACCCTTTACTAAATCACTGTGATATTCGGCACGTATGAATGCTTATAGTGAAATTCACTTCAGGAGAGATGCACATATGTATGTGCCATAGTAATGAAAAAAAAAAAGCAAATGGGATGCACTTTCCTACTCTTTACTGTGGGCAGTCAACACTTTTTTCTTACTTTCATGAATGTTAGAGGAATGGAAAAGAGAGAGATAGCAAAGTCAGTCTTAAGGGTGGTGTGAAATATGAAACTAAGAGTTGATAGATAATAGCAGATGAATAGAGGTGATGATTCTGATTTGTAAGCATGTATCTCATTTTTATTGGAGAAAACAAAGAATGCATAGAAAGTATAAGCAGATTAGTTTAATATGACTTTTCTGTGATCTTTTCACAAAGCATGCAATTTCAAACCTACTGAAGTCAGTGAGGATCATTTCACTGACCTGAACAAGCTTTTTATCAGAATTTAAGACATTTATTCTTATGCATAGATGCATATTAAAGAGGTGATAGCCAGTCTTGGTTATTATATTAAAATTATTCTGAGTCTTCTACTATTCTTTTCAGTCAGTGACTTAACATTGGACTTCAGATTGCTTCAGTAATTGCCTGACATAGTCTCACACTATTTGATTCTGCCTATTTTTAACATCACTGTTTGGACAGTATTAATTGTACATCATGCTTTTCCTCACTTTATTTCTATAGAGTCTCTTTAAAAAAATAAAAGTGTGAAAAAATAAATACGTGAAAACTGGTAGAGCTTAAATGAACAGAAGAAAGTTACTGGATAAAATGGGTTAATACTTGTAATATGTGTTTCTACATATTTTTATTTCTCAACTCTAAGGTAAGTTTCCTTTTGCTCTATGTATTGCTTCTTTGCCTTTCCTGAAATGCAAGCTTCTCAGGCAGATGTAGAAAATTCCTCAATGCAAACACTCTTTTTTTGTTTTGAAAACCAGCATTTTTCCTTACCTGCAAGTCATAGGTCAAGTCAGGAGAGAACACTTCTCCAGTATACTTAAACTGTTTTATTAAAAACTACTCAGTGTGCTTAAGGATTGCCACCTAACGCATGAAACTCAATGTAAGTTTATCCATTCAGGCTTTACTGGTTATGCAGATCTTGAGGCTTAGAGGGGGTGTATCCATCACAGTGCCTGAGGAGAGCAATTCTGCACATTCCATTGCTTTGCTTGACCATAGTAATTGCCAGACCAAACAGCATGGTTTAAAAGCACATTCTCATGTGTGTTTGGTACCTCTCCTTCCTTTGGAAGACAAGAAGACAAAACTGTTTGATCTTTTAAAAGTGATGTTTTAATGGAATGGAAGAGTTGCTTCAATTGTTTAATGTTACTTTTGTGCATCCATTTAGGATGGTAAGAGGAATGACTTGAAGTGACTGAGAGCATTTAACTTTCTATTGCAAGTTGCAGAATGATTCATAAGATGAGAGAGCTAATATATGTATATAAGTAGGCAGGTACAGTAAGACTTTGTTGCATTTTGTAACTTAATAAGTCATTTTACAATCAATTTCCTTTTATTCCTTTAGACTGTGTTTAATATATCATGCCAAGAAAACATATGGATTATTAATTGTGGTGCAACATTACTGGTAAGGTGTTTGCCTATATACAAAAGACAGTTGTCACAGTTTGTGAGAATTTCGTCTCTTCATAAATGCTAATGCAAAAAATGCATTCAGGATGAATGTAAGTTGTCCTGATGTAATTGTTTTAAGTTCTTACTCTGATTTCTTATTTCTTAAACCTTAAAAATAATGATATTTTTTTATTGCAGAAACCTTTGAAATGCTTATCAGACTGGCTGAGAACTACACAAGCACACTTTTCTGCAATGCATATAGAAATATGGCTGCTGAGGCTACTACACGTGTCCAGGAGTTTTTCACAGATGTTGGACTCTTCATCTTTGGCACAGACATTAGCACAGAAGAATTTGTCAACAGATTTTTTGACACCCTCTTCCCAGTAGTCTACAACCATGTGATTAACCCTGGTCTGACTGACATTTCACTGGAATATGCAGAGTGCCTCCGAATGGCGAGAAGAGACATTAGGCCCTTTGGTAACATTCCCAAAAAGGCCATAGGACAAATGGGAAGATCACTGTTACCCAGCCGGACTTTCTTGCAGGCTCTGAATTTGGGTATTGAAGTGATCAATACAACAGATCATCTGCATTTCTCTAAAGACTGCAGCAGAGCTTTACTGAGAATGCAGTACTGCCCCCATTGCCAAGGGCTGACTTTAAGTAAGCCCTGTATGGGCTACTGCCTTAATGTCATCCGAGGCTGCTTAGCTAACGTGGCAGAAGTTGATCTTCATTGGCGGGGATATATTCAGTCCCTGGAGGAGCTCTCAAGCGCCATGAGTGGGATGTACGACATTGAGCACGTGCTTCTAAACTTTCATTCACTTGTTAATGACGCTCTCATACAGGCTCATATCAATGGACCAGAATTATCTGAGCAGGTAAGAAGCTGTTTTTATCCATGCTTGGTGCAAACATGACACTAAGAAAAGTAACATCGATAACTAATACTTGTTTAGCTATTTTTATGGTAATGAACACATTTGTATCCAAGTTCAGCTTTATTTGACAATGCATTTTTCTAGTACTGCCAGGTTTTATTTTAATCATGCACATGATCTGCTAATTTCCCATATTCTATTCTCAAGTTTAACATCAAGTGGAGATTTAACATTTTGGCAGCATTTACAGTAAAGGCTTTTCAAAATGAAAAGAATCCTTGTGTGGATTTTATCTTTTCCCATTCCCCATGAAACCAGTTTATTTCAAAATTTTGCTGAGTGAAAATTTTTGTTGCACAATCCAATAGAAACTTCTTTTCCTTCACCCTTTTTATTTACCAGTTAACATTTTCAGTAGATGTGCTGAATAGCTTTAGGTTTAACTTTACAACTGCGTCTGTTAAGTTCTACACCTGAACAAGGGTGAACAGTGGCATCTGTCATTAAGTTTGGAAGCTTTAAACATTAACAAGAGGAAAGTAAATTAACTGGTGAAAAACTTAATTCCACAAATATTCTATAAAAACGGAATTGAATAATAATGTGGCATTTGTGTAAATGAGGGTGTTAAATCTCAGCAATAATATTGTTTGCAGATTGGAAACTTGTTATACAACATACTGGGAATAATTTTTAGGAGCACAAAAATGTTTTTCATGAACATACGTAAATTGTTTAATTGCTTCATTGTTATCTTATATGCACATAAAGATAAATTGAGACAATCCTTCTTTTAGATACCAGTGGCCTGTCTTAAAGAACCGATGACTTTGCATATATTATTTGCATAATTTTGTAGGTTTCAGGCAAAGTAGCACCGTTCATTTGTAACATGAACTAAATCCTTACATATACTTAAGAGAAAAAGCAAATTATGTGAGAGCTGTGTTAGCTGTGAATGCATGAAATGAAGAATTTTAAGATACCGCTAAGGAAAATACACATTATTTAGCTACACATTAGAAAGAAAGTTAGTATATCTGCAAATTTATGAAGGTGAGGTAAGTAGCAAAATTTTAATTCTTCCTATGTTATATTTAATCCACAGTACGTTTTGTAATTACATGTTTCTCTGTGTTCTTACAAGCAGACTTCACTGACAGTGACCCTTCCCAATTTTAAAATGAAATATTTCGTTTTTCACTCAATCTGCATCAGACCTATGCATTTAGACATATCTTTCACTTAATCGTTATGTTATAGTTGACCAGTCCTTTCTCTCTTTGATCTATAATTTTGTCAAATAAGACTATGATGCATTGATCCCTTGAAACATGGTGATCTAGTCTGGCTTGAGTATATTTCATATTTGCCCACACGTTAGGTATAAAGACCTAATTCTGACATGTAATGAATACAGTCTTTCAGCTTTAAGAGGCAGAGGACATGAATTCTGTTGAAATTGGCTCATTAATATTTATTTATTTTATCTTCAGAGTGACTCATGAACTGTTTCAAATTTTGATAAGCAATTAATGCATCAGTGATTCTAACAGACACAGAAAAGATGATTACGAGCCAGCAAATAATGGCTTGCTTAGGCACGCAGCTGTCTCTGCAGTTTTAAAAGTGAATTTCATCACAGTAAGTACTTTTATGAGTTTTAAAGAAGCAGACAGAGAAAAAAAAATCTTTAAATGTTTGGAAATATGATATATATATGTGCAGATATTAATATGAGAATCAACAGAGTATCCTGCTTAGTGATACATGTATTTATACAGCTCTTTATCTAATCATGTGTATGTTTGTATAAATAACTATATGTAAAGGATTTTTTTTCTAACATGTTGCATGGATACCTATATTTAAATCTAATGTATATTCATACTTTAAGCTCTGTGTGGTGTGGAAAGACCACTAATGCCTATATAACATGGCTTCCTCTTACAAAACTCTTTTTTCTGGTAATTTACAACTTGTTCCCTTTTCTGCTTGGGTCAGCAGAGCTGTCTCCAGCTGGAACTTCTCTTCCCTTTGTTCTTCCTGTTTTGAATTCACACCTTTAATTCCTGCCTCCTACAGCTCCGCTGACTGACAAATAAATGCAGCACCTGTTCATCATCTCTCTACCTGGACATTATTCTGTGCTGTTCTGCAGAATCTAGTGGAGATGTGTGGGTTGTGCAACTATTCACTTATTTATATATGTTCACATATATATATATTTTGACATATATTTAATGACAGTTCTGTTCTGTGTTCCTGAAGTCTATATATGTCCATTTATGTACTGTTTATGCTCAGTGCATAGTGCATCCTATGCTTTTCAGCTGGTTGGAGTTGGAACAGAAATTTTTTTGCAGTCTTCTGTGTGTATGCTCATGCAAATATAAGGTAATAGAGGTTTAAGAGAGCTACATCATACAAAACAAGAACAGTATTCATTATTAAGGTTATCCAAAAAAAGATTATATTATGTAATTGTTAAGCATTGGATAACAGGTAAAAATGCTTATTGCTACAAAGGACTTTGTAGATTCATCCTATGCTCCTCTTTGTGCTCAGCCTGAGTTGCCATGTGCTGGTCTCTGAACTTGCATATAGCTGGGGAAATACCCATTGAGGGCAACTGTGCTGGCTAATGAATGCACAAGAGCTTTGTAACACTTCTAAGCCTTTTTAAGGAAAAACAAACAAACTAAAAACCTTGTTTACAAGTTGTAATAAACTGTTTCATGTTACCTCTGTTCTGTTACGCTAGCCACTGAGTGTGAATATTAAGACAGAAGGACAAAGAGAGATTTTAGCAAGATTTACAAAGTTTTGGTGTGGATGGAGCCTACTATCCCCGGCGTAAGAGCATGTTTCTGTTCCCTTTATGCATGGGTTAGTGGCATGGCCCCATGCCATGGAAGGGCAAGTTCCTGTGTCACTCACAGTGTGGTTCAAAGGCAGCTTAAGCCAATTTCACCCTGGGTTGCCCAAGTCCTGCTCTGACACCATCCTCAGCTGTGTGTTTCCACTACTTTCCCTGTGTGCACACTGCTTTGGCAGCTGAAAGTCAAGCTGGTTGAGGGAGCTGTCAGCAAGAGAGAGTCTCTCTTAGCCATGGTTTTGTTTTGGTGTATGGTGTCATGTGTTGGATAACACAGCAGCTCAGAGGTCCATCAGAGTGGAACAAGCAAGAGGACCTGAGAGGAGGTGAAATGGGTCTGAGGCAAGAGCTGAAGGAAGAGAGGAAAGGAACAGGAGAGAAGAGAAAGAGAAAAGTCACAAGGCTTTGTAATTAAATCTTTCCTCCAAACTTTACATGAAACTATTGTTCTTGATTCCCAAAAGATCAGTGGTGTTTGGGATTAATACTGAATAAAAGAGAAGAAAAGGAATATTGGTTAGTTGTTCATTGTGTATTCTGGGCACTGATGATTTGGTGGATCTGGAGGAAAATGAAGTATGTGACCATGATATTAAAAGCTATAAATGCATATAAAAATGTAGGAATCAGAAACACAACAGCAATAATTAAAATCACACAGACAAATTCTGGCATTTCCTAATTTTGGAAGTTAGGAATTTGTGCTGTAGGTTTGGTAAAATTCTTGTATGTAAACAGTGTTTGTATGTAAACAATGTTGGTATGTATGAAAATTTGTAGGTAATATAAGCCTACAAAAATTTGGAATGGGATTTTCAAAAGCTCTATGTCTTCACTGTGTTCTAACCCATGTAGACTTTCACTGGATCAGTTTTCTAAACAGCTGGAGATAATGAAAATGTGAAACTTCTGGACGTTCTCAAGTCCTTTCACTGATCTTAGTCTAATCCTTAAAGAAGATCTAAGTAATGTGCCTTCTAAAAAATGCAAACAATTGTATTGTATGAAAAGAGTCTTGCTCTTTTTTTAATCTGTTGTTAATACTAGAAAAAAAGCAACGTCTTTCTTGTGTAATAGAATGCTAGCAGGAAGAAGTTAATAGACTGTATTTAGAACTTTATTTCCTTATTGGTTATTTTTGCTTGAAATGTCTAGCTATAACACTTAAACAGTCAGAAACGCTGTAATACAGTGATGTTTTAAATTTAATATTCCCATGAAGAGACATGTTCACAAACATTATAAATAGAGTATTTGTGGGTTTTTTCCTATTCCTTCTAGGATCTGTTTTATGTAGCTACTTTTTATTGGGGTTTCTTTAGCGAAAAGTCACACAGCCTTATTCCACGGCATTCCAGAAAATGAAGTCCTGTAGAAGTACACTAAACCAATTGGTTTTTTAGATTTAAAAAAGGAATGAAAAGAAGGTGATGAAAAACATCTTTTGATAATGCCAAATATATACAAAACGTACACCTGCAAGCTATAGTATAATTGCAGTTTTTATTTTTGCACAGGACTAAGCTTGACTGTCAACAAAAGACCAGATTATCAGCATTTCTAATTGTGGAAAATGCTGTGCCTGGATATTTGGTAACTTTCATAGCTTTACAGGTTAAGGCACTTAAAGAGATGCAAGAGATCAGCATCCTTTGAAGTAGCTATTCTGTGAACCCACTTCCTTAGTATCTAAAATCTAACTCATTTACTTGTGTGATTATATGCCTATAAATACAGCAGCTTTATGCCTACTGCTTCATAGCTACTGCATTTTGGTTGCTTGCTTAGAGTGCATTAGTCAATCGTGAAGTAAGTTCACAAGCTACTTAAACTTATATTGAAAAATAATTAGTTTTGTCACTCTATTTTAAAGAAATTTTAATATTAGAAAATGCTTATTATAAACCTTCTATATAAATCAGGTCATGAAAGAGATCTGAAATTCATGACTTAAAAATAAATTGTAGCTATCACAAAGAGCTGTGCTCAGCGCACCTGAAATGGACTTCTATATCTATTCTATATGCATATAAAAACACACAGTATAATGTTAACCACAAGTGGTTATTTCCATTAAAACTGAAAATTCAGGAAAATAGAGTAAGGGAAGAAAATAAGAAAC